GCATTTTTCCACACAAAGTTGAGAAGAAAAAAAAGTTAACTCGTCTTGACGTCATCAGCTCGCGCATCACAGAATGTAAACAACACTGTATAGAGCTCATTTACCAACGAACATTTCTACTAAAGACCGGGCAAAAAGTGGGGGGAAACTATTCTGCACCCCGTGCAACTGTGTGTTGGAGCATAAGAGAAAATCGACGGGGACGACCCACTTTGATTCATTCAAACATTCGAAAATGCTTTCTGCTGCTGCGGACAAGAAAGCCAAACAACTCACGTTCACCGAGGCATCAACCTCCAAAACCCTTTCGAGGGCTACAAGAAACGAAGTGAGTAGCCTACAAGATTGAAGCTGGTCAGATAACGAACGAGTAAATGAAAACGGAATTAGGCGGAGAAGTGCGTGTTTGTGCGTGTGTGTGTGTGTGTGTGTGTGTGTGTGTGAGATTAAAAAAGCCCAATTGCTTTTACAATAAATAAACATTGAATGTGTTTAATTGAATAGTAAAGGGGTTTAACGTTAGTGGCAGGTTGTGTGTGAGAGAGAATAAATAAGACAGCCCAATATTTCAAAAAATTGTTATTCTTTTTCCCCGCATATTTCGCAACTTTCCGCATATTTCGCAACTTCCCGCAATTTCACCGCATAAAATCACATAAAAACCCCGCATGTTTAATCGCATAATCAAGCAATTTAGCCCGCATAATAAAGGATTTTTGCCCGCGTTTTTCTGGAGGGTCTAAGTATTAAGAGATATAGTGTAGAATTCTTGCTGATAAAGGTTGCTCATCTGTTGGATGTTTTTTTAATCCATATCCCTTGTGCATTAGGAGCTGACACTAACAATAATCCAGTTATCCTACCAGACAGAAAAGCAGAAAGTCCTCATATTTTGAGAAGCTGCCTCTACAGACGTTTGTCATTTTGCTTAAAAGAAACCTCTCTGATTAATTAAATATCACAATTGTTTTCACTTGATTTGTTGGTATTCAGTTAAAAGAATGATTTTTCCAGCTCCAATTCCTTTGATGCTTAAGTAGTGTCACCTCCGGCACATGCATTGCACAAAAATAATACTGATAGTTCTGTGAGATTTTTGCAATTAATGAGTTATTTGTTGTCCGGTTTTGGAGCTGTGTTCTGATTGATACTGGTCCATCCTCTGCTGTATGTCATGCATGAGGCAGCCCTAATTGCATACAATCAATAAGAAACTAATTCACCATTTAAAAAAACACAGTAGTTCCAATTAAGCTACAGCAGCCAGTGTGAGTATTAGTCACTTCTGTTCTGTTCATTTGTGCCACATATTTATTAATTAATTCACAAAAGAGGATGTTTAATGTTTTCGGTACTGTTTGTTTGTTGTTCTTGTGTTTCTTAACAACATTTCTCAAAAAAAAATAAAAATGGAATCCATAAATTAAATTAAATGTGTTGAAGAAACAAGACTGTAGGCTAAAGAACAATTTCACATTTTTAAATTTTCCAAGATTTTTTTTAAGAATGGTTAATTCTGAGAGGTTATTATGTTTTTCATCTGGCGCATGCCATGAATATCCATTTTTATATTTTTCTTGATTTTGTTTTTCTCTTACTGAATCAGAATAGATCAGCCTTGGGTCCACTGCTGCCTGACTCCTTTCACTGTCATGTGAAGTGTGGTTGTAAATAATTATTTTTTACATATGTGTACCTAAAAAGTTGAAACCTCCACATTTATTCTTTTATTCTTACAATTCTGAGAAATGAATTAGACATAAATGAAAACATTTGCCAGAGCCCAGTTTTAAAGTAACTGTTTTCTTCTCTTCCAGAAATCTCTTGGACCGAGACACTTTCTCCAAATCCGACCCACGTAAGTTCTCAGCTTTCACAGTGCTGATTTAAGCATGGCTTTTGTCTTGCTCAGAAAATTGTTCATCACCTTCTCTCCCTCGACAAAGCTTTACTTTTATTTTAGCTGAGCTTCACTTTGATTCAGTTTACTTTGCTATTTCAAAGTGTTCCTTCAATGACTGCATATAATTTGCACATTAATGTGACAACCTTTCCTCACTGAGAGCTACAGAAAGTACCTTAATGCATGCAGGGCCAGACTTTGAATATAAATGGGTATCTTTGGGTGAAACACATGGGGAACCGCCACAAAGGCATTTTCTTTGATGCTCCCTGCAGGATGGAGAATGGGAGAGACATGTATCATAATAAGGAGGAGGTTCGAGCCCTTTGTGTAAATAAGCCACTGGAAAATATCACATTCGCCCTGTTTTTTATTCGCAGGAAGATGAACCCTAAGATGTATGAGGGGTCACGCTGTGAGCAGGAGGCTCAGCTTAATTTAAAGTCGTAAAATAATATGGGAATAAAGAGATTTTCCAACTGTTATTGTATTGCATATTGTTTTTTGATTGCACGGCTTAAATTGAACTCCAGACGTCTACAATGTTGTTAAAGAGCTTTGTTCTTTGCATGTGCCCATTATACCCAGAATGTGATGCAGTGCAGCATCATCAAGCTTGGCACTTCATTATGCTGTCAGGGTGAGATGGGATAATTAATGATGAATTGCAGCAAAGACGGAACAAAACAAACACCGTACGAAGAAGCGGGATTCTTGATTGAGATGGTGCAGTGACAGTGCACTCTCTCTCTTTCTCTTCAGTGTTGGTGTTGTACACGCAGGGCGCTGAGTGCAAACAGTGGAGAGAGGTAAGAGTTCGCCCCTCTGTCGACACAACCCATCAGCATGTCCCCCCCCCTCCCCCTCAAGGTAAATGCTGTGAGTGCCAATCATTTCCAATTGATTAACCCTGTGAATATCCGTGCGCTGGTCAGCACTGTATAAACTGTGACTGATTGGCTGATTAAGACTTTAATTGGACCACAGAGACAGGTAACGTATAGAGAGGAAAGCTATTGTGGCAAGACAAGTGATACCTTTGGGATTATTTGTTCATGTAATCCTGATGGGTGGGTATACAGAACAAAACTCCTAGTTTAAGATTCCTTTCAGACTGATATTCTTTTGATCTGAGGCAGCCGTAGCCTTTTTTGTGAACATGAATGTTATTTTTCAAAAGCTAAAAGCCAGGCATTCAGTAATATACAGCACAATCAATACTGTGTGTACAGTACATGCTGCCTAACAGGAAGACAGAGTTGAGACTATTAGCTATTTCTTTCACTCTGGCTGAATAGGAGTGCGATGTCTATTGACTCCACACAGAGGCCTTGGTGTCACACCGGTGCACATTGGTGTGACACAAAAGATTTAGGAGTGGGAAAGACCTGGCTCCAGGATGCAAAGGTTTCACTTGGAATCTGTGTTTTGGTGGTTCTTGGCTCTTATAAATAGAGAAGGTCTAAAACAGATTTCAGTGGCACAAGGCAGGTTAACAACATGGATTCCAACATGGATGAGAAGAGATGCCCCGTCTTACCTTTACATAGCAAAGCAACAACACACACACACACACACACACACACACACACACACACACACACACACACACACACACACACACACACACACACACACACACACACATGGCGAAACAACATTTACGGACCTGTGTGTCAGATTTTTAACCACAAAATGCATCATCATAGAAGAATATAGCTTGTTTATAAAAACAAAAGTGCCATGGGAGTTTCTCCAAACGCAGCTCCTCGCTAAGCCCCTAATCCATTTTTATCTTAAAGTTTGTTATTAACTGGCCTTCTGTCATTATCAAAAAGTTCCCCCGAGTGTCCTGGTCTAAAAGGAATAGTTTGACATTTTGTGAAATGCACTTTCTCTCTGAAGGGTTAGATAAGAAGATCAATATTTCTCAAACAACTGATTCTCAAAAAGGTTGAAGTACCACACACACACACAAACACACACTGGACTACAATCTTGATTGGGTTCACAACGTAACTTTCACACTTTAAAAGTCCTCTGGAAAATTGTTGTCCACTTTAGTACAGATGCATTTGGAGTCACGTGGGGGTTACTTGTGCATCTTATCACGTCCTGTGTCTTTAAATGTCATTTCTACCAACCTAACTGTAGACAAAATGGCGACTAACATGAATTATTAAATGAATTACCAATTGTTACCTGAATTATCTTTTTTGCTCACAGGCTTTTAAGAGTGGCCACCAGTAAAGCAAACATTGGTGCTTGTAGCAGCAACACAGCGATATGCTTTTAATGAGGCCATAAATTAGTTTGACTAATTATCATGCAAATGTAGTCAAGCCTTCTACACTTGTCACCTCTGGCTACACTGCCCCGCCTCAAGCTTCCACACTGCGTGCAGCCTGGACGTCTCTCCCTGACAGAGATACAGAGTCAGAGCAGGACAGCTGCCTGTGTGAGCTGCAGAGTCAAGCTGTGCAGTATTGATAAAGGTGCTAAGCCCTTCTTTTGCCCCTGTCATGATATGCGCCTGTTTGTTCTCCTCAGAGTGGATGTGGTTGGTCGGAGCACCTTTCGCTGTGCCACCTCCCGTCTGTAATCCAATGACTCTTGTGTGGGACAAACCCCCATCGGCTTGGTTTCTAGTAGAACATCTGGATATTTTAAACCAGGTCCATCAATTCCTCCCCTTGTTAGCATCCTTAGCCGAATATATAAAACTGTAGCTGCAGCCCATCATTCTGTTACCACATGACTTTAAAGTGTTAATATTCAACTCCCTCATCTTTGATTACTCCGAGTGCATGACATGTTTTCCTCTTTCCACAGCTTTTACTTAACAGCTGACACAATGTAACCTCCATAAATGTAAGCAAGCCTGGCCTTTCACGCTGAGGAATTAGTAGAGACATTCATCTTTTTACCAAGATAATTTAGTGACATTGTAGCTCACCATTTATCTCAGGCACGGTTATTGGAGGGAAGTATTGCACACTGACTGCCAATGCCCAGATACCCTTTTTTTGGGGGGGTTGACAGTTAATCGTAGTGGTTTGCAACTCTGGCTTTACAGGCCCACTTTGTACTTGCCAAGGAAGGAATAATATGTGGTCTGAGAAATGTTTTATTTCCTCGGGTGGCTGTTCTCTGCTCTGGTGCTGATTTTATGCTTCTGTTGAGTTTGGCTAGTACCAAATTGAATATGCTATAGGCCCCCTGTTGCCACATTCAGCTCCTATCATAAAATGATGCTGCTGTTCGCCTGGTGCAGAGAACTCCCTCTATGTACGCTCCCACTTTCTGAGAGGTATACATAGGGAGAGAGATTTTAGTGCTGCCACATAGAAGCTCAACTTTTATACGCTTAGACACAGTTTTATGTTTGATGGCAGGTTACACTTCAGTAAATCCACTCCCTCATGCTGTCATATGTTACACATCCAGCTAGACTCTCTTGCATTAGCATAGGCGTCCATCTGTTAAAAGTATTCTTCTTCTGCAACGTTATTCTGTCGCTCCCCACATTAAATCCCACTTTGAGTTTTACCCCCACTGCATGTAATCACAAAGTTGTGAGCCTGTAATCCTGCTGCTACATCTCCTCATTAAACCTTAACACTGCTATTATTAATTCTCTGTCAGTCTATGGTTCCAATTCCTTTCATTTATGCAGCTCCACATACATTCTCTGACTTTGAATTATTCATTTTGGATTCAATAATGTGCGTGATGGGGGTTATGCACAACACTTTTGTTTGCCTGTTGATTTGTTTATCAGCACATAACCGCATCAGAAGGTCTTGCTCTGTATCAGTGTCGTCTTTTTTTAGTACTGACGGATTCCCATTTTCGTCATAATGCCAGGGAACTGGAGATGGCTTGCCACCTTCCCATCTAACAGTTCATCATCCCCACCCCTTGTTTTTGAAGTCACTATGAGCTCGAAAGTGGCTTTGAATGTGATATTAATAAATGATTGTAATTGGAGTCAATAAAGTGTTTTCCTCAGGCTTGCTCATCCCCAGCACAACGAGAAGAGGTGGAGAAGAAGAGCTGAACTGTGCGATCACTGACTTCTGTTCATCAAATCTGAGCTTATCTGAAGCTGTGAATTCACACTGTTGCAGGGGAAGATGGGGGGGGGTACATTAATAGAACTGTGGGTGTAGTTTCTGCGTGACATCTGAAAGCTTTGAGATCACTTATTCGTCTTTTCTCTCCTTCTTTTCTGGTCTAGTTCGGGAGAACAGAAGTGATCGACAACACACTGAACCCGGACTTTATCAGGAAGTACATCCTGGACTACTTCTTTGAGGAGAAGCAAAACCTGAGATTTGACGTGTGAGTTATTCCGTTTGATCCATTCCTCTGGAGACACACACCGAGTTTCAAATGTGCAGTCCTCTTCCAAACCAGTCCCCCATTTTGTTCATTTCTTTTTTAACCATAAGCTTCACATCTTCTCCCTCAGTCGCTCTCTGTCTTCCCCATCTATCTCTTAACCCCCCTCCCCCTTTCCGGTCTCTTATTTTCTCTCTTCTCTCCATTGTCACTGCCAGCGCGGCTCTCTCCTGAGGAATTATTCATTGGTGCAGAGTCTCAGAAGTCATTTTTTGAAAGGAGAGTGTGATACATATTTCAAATAAAGTTATATCCTTAATATCTCTGCTGCTAAGCAAAGCAAATCTCTAAAACTAAGTCCCATGAAACTCGCCGAGAACTCTGTTCCCCCCTCTTTCACATACTGCTGCCTTCCCCCTCTTGAAAAATACCAGCCTGGAGAGAAGGTCAAGAAGGTGCGGTTTCATTTTGAGACCCCCCCC